AGTTTAATCAGAAATAATAGAGAATATAAAAATCAGCATTTTCACCCTCCATTCAAGTCTTCTGGAATACTAGGAGGCATCGGTGTCTAACAGACTTCACCACCACCGTGAGGCAGGTGGTCTAGTTCTCCCTGTACTAATGAAGAACAGTCAAGTACAGGTGACAGGATTTATTTGCAAAGCCCATGGACGATGCTAGGACTATAGCTCCGAGCTGTGCTTTTCCATCACGGACATCAAAGCCTTAGCTGACATGTGTAGCTAGAAAATAGTTTATATAGAAATATATCTTTATTATTCTAATTCCAGAAATGACTACACTAGCAAATAACACTTACTTTTTAACAACAAACTTGATTTTATTACTGCCACGGACAATCCTTTCAAGTCGTGGAATTCCAAACCAGGTAGGGCTTCGAAAGGGAATTCCTTCTGGCAAGCCTTCAACATAAAGGAACTCGGGATTTGATTCAAACACAGGGTATGGTACTTTTACTGCCTCTGTGAGTCCCAGAGCTTGAGCTGAAATTGTAAGAAGACATAACTTATGGAAGGTAAAATTTTACAATCTTTTCTTTTTATCTGACAATATAATCCTTTTATTGTTTTTTATTTACGTGTAATTGACATATAACATTATATTAATTTCTGGTGCATAACACAATCATTCAGTATTTGCATATACTGCAAAATAATCACCATAATAAGTCTAGCTAACATCCAGGCATTCTCAAATATGTTATGCAAAAGTTCCCTACATTCTAGTAATATCCACTTATATGAAGGCATTTTGCTTAGTATAAAACTGAAGAATAAGCCTAAAAAATGAGTACTTTTAAGAGGAACATTTTAACACTTCCAAATCAAAAGGTTAGTTCTATTAGTCAAAATGATCTCTGTGCTCTGAGCAGACACGAGCCACAGCCATTTCACAATGAAATGGCACCCACCCAGCCTCTGTGTTGTATCTAGATGCAAGTTTGCTATTCAAAAAACAAGAGTTGCATATGATATATCTAAGCAGAACTCATCATGTTAGAGAGATGAAAGGCAGAGTATTTAAGATTCCTGATCTAGGACACAAATGTCAATACCAAGTATTAAAATGACAGATGGGAACACCCCAGGAATACTGCTATCACTCCCACTCCTTACTTCCTTCTCCATGACAGACACACCCAATCAACTGAAACACTCTTGCTGAGCCTCCTCAGAATCCTTCTCAAGACAGCGCTCCAGGAAACCGCTGTCAACAAATCTAAGTTGAAACAAATGGTGAAACCTATTTGCCATATGGTGTTAGCCAGATGAGAAGTACAGACAGTGGAACTGAGACTTATCCCAACTCCTCCCTTCCTCTCCCATTTTGACACATGAGAAAACTGAATCCTCGAGAAATAAAGTAACTTGCTTGGTTTAAGTAGCGAATTCAGCAGCGGAAATCAACTAAAACCCAGTTTCTGAGACTTTCCTTCCCTAGGCCCTGAACTGCTGTACTTCGTTCAGAACGCTGCCTTTCATTTGGTTTTCAGTGAAGACATAAGCCCTGTGCTTCACTTACCAAACTTCAAATTAAAAATCTCCTCCACTTGCTTCCGGAGCTTGGTGATTCTGACATTCCAATCTTCTTTGACTAGAAAGCAAAAATGAATCTAATGAACGACACTCCTTATTGGTGCTAACACAAAATTACACTGGGTGTTGTTCTTTCCAGAAATGCTCTTTTTGAAAAATCAAAATTTAATCGACATATAACACTGTATTAATTTTAGGTGCACAATCCAGTGATGCACTTAATTCAATTTTGTTTAAGAACAAAACTTTGGGTCTTGAGGAAAAGAATGATTTCCAGCACTTGTCAAAATATCAGAGTGAGGGAGACAGAATTCAAATTTAAATTCACATTGTAAATAAGCAAGAATTTGTTCATGAGAGCGCTCTAAATAAGTGGTTTTCCAACATTCCTTCCTGGAGTCACACGAGAGAATCCTGTGGGGGCTGGGGAGGCCAGCTGTCTAAGGCTTCAGCCTTCTACATCAGGCTCAGCCACAACACTTCACTTGTACCTGCTTTCTGTACAAGCATTGCTGGTTTTATCCAACAGGTACGTGCCTAGAAATCCACCCAAAGCAACACTTCACTAATCACAGCAAAAAATAAACGGTAAAGGGATTAGGGAGCTGTCACTCAACACTACTCACATCTACAGACTGCTTTAATTCCTAACCCCTTATTTATAAGACAACCATCCCCTTTTAAATATAACTTTAGAATAAAGAAAAAAATAAACTATTATAAAGGTCGTGTAGGATGTCACCTGGACGATAATTAGGGCCTATTTGGTGAAGCTGAGAGTGGAGAACACCAACTTTGGAGACACGGAGGATGATAGAGGTGTTGGGCAAGAGAAGTGGGGGTTGAGGGAGATAGGAGGGGGGAGGGCAGACAGCATAAGAATCCCACCAAGTGTGGAACCACTATGTGTGTTGGCAAAGGCAGTGGGAAATGTTGGAGAAGTTCTGGAAATATTGCTAAAAGTTGGTGGTCTCAGAAAATCTTTTTTAAACATTTCTTTTACTTTGCTTTTCCTGTAAAAGCACTTATAACTTTTACTTTAAAAGAAAACCTATCATTTGAAGGATTTAACATGGCAGCTCAACCGTTCATTCAGCCAGAGTAACTCTGGTATAAACCAAACCTGAATTATTACCATGAAGATATCTAGACTCTCCTCATCGAAGGTAAAGAGCTTCTGTTAACGTGTTGCTCAGTCTCCCTGCTGCCTCACCCTACATTTCCTTCGCCAGCACTCACTACTCTAATACAAAAGATCTCTGCTCTACTCCTCACGAGAGCCACGTAACACCTCCCTGTGCTCCCCCTTCAAAGCTCAATTACCTGACATATATCTTTGACCAAATGGAGGGCAAAGTGTACCCACAGTGTATTTAAGCATACAACTGTTAACTAATCCCAGGTCATGCCAAGAATTAAGTAGACATCGCTGATGGCAATAGTGACTAACCAAGTTCTCTTGTGTAGTCTATGACTTCAGTTTGCCCAGAAAAGACTAACTAATGTCTGGTTCATTGGTAGACCAAGTAAACGTTTTGTTGGAATGAAGAATGATAACCTGAATTCTTTCCAAAGTCTTCTATGAATGATAGAAGGCAAAATACTGTTAATGATTCAGAGTATCAAGATTCTCCTTTTGATAATAGTCCTGTAAAGTATCTCTGCTAGAAGACACAGCTCAAGTACCGCTGAAAACGCTATTACTCAATCCTTGGAGTAACATCTACGGTGCCTGTATATCCTTTCAATGATACAGGTTTAACATTCTCAGTTTGCAGCCACTATTAGAATTGCTCCCAATAAAGGCAGTGATCCCTTTCATCCCAACCTTGAATTTGAGGTCTGTCTTGAGGAATAAAGGCTTACATGTAGACTTTGGGCATATTCCGGCTAATCCATAGTAAAGCTCTACCTCTGGGAATACGTTTCTTTCCATTCCATTGCTTAGCAAAGTCTGTATCATCTCCAATCTTCAATTCATCACCAATACTTTCCCTGCCTAAACGAAAGCGTGCTGAGGAGGCTGCTGTGCTCGTTTTGATGCTCAGCCTGAGCTAAGGATTGATTATACCTTCTCCTCTGCAGGATTCCTGGCACCCGATAATTTCGTTTTCCTACTTCAGTATTTCTCAAGCACTTTTCATGCCATGATAAACAAAAGATTATATAACCTATTCGGCTGACCTTTACCAGTTGCTCCAGGTGCCTTAAGAGCTGAAGGATCGGTATTTTAGTACAAATAACCACCTCTAAAAAGCAGATTTGTAGCTCAAACAAATAAAACTATTTACACAACTGAGGCTGAGACTTCATAGTTCTTTTCTGTTGGGCAGTGATGTCAGCGCAGCTCTCAGAATTACAGTATTTGTCACTTAAAAAACAGAGTCTGTGTGAATACAGATTAAGGTCTAAATCTGCATTGTTTGACACATTGTGGCCACTGAGCACTTGAAACGTAGCTGGTTGAGATAGAGTGTAAAATACACACAGAAGTTTCAAATAAAGAGTGTAAATATATGAAATAAAAAAATGTAACTTCCTTCATCATGTATATATTTATATTGATTACAGGTTACCTATACTGAAACATAGATTTGGCTATTAGAAAATTTAAAATGACAACTGTTTTGTGACACACATTATATTTCAATTGAACACCACTGGTCTAAGCTTTCCCCAAACTGCTTATTTCATACTGATAATTCAAGGAGTGCCTGGACTGAGCTTCCACAAAAGATATTTTTGGGGGAAGGGAGAGGAATTCCATCGCTTTAAAAATGCGGATCTGGGGACCGGCCAAGTGGCGCGATGGTTAAGAACTGGCTTGGGATGCCAGAGGGCCCTGGTTTGGATCCCACATATGAGGGCCAATGACGCTGCTCTCTACAGCTAAGATGCTGAACAACAGCTCAACCGGGAGCTGGGCTGCTATGAGTCGCTGGCAATGGTGTAGGCAGCAGCCCCTTCTGCAGTGGGTTGCCATGGGCTACCATGTGTAGCCAGCAGCCAGTGTGAGCGGCCCTCAAGCTGCCGTGAGCGGCTGTCCAGAAGCCAGCCACTGATCTGCCTCGCCCGGGAAGAGCGCAATGATGGTGCCAACTTGGGCCAGTGAAGCAACGTCCTCCACAACTAGACTGAAGAACAAAAGGACAGCAACTTGTCTGTTCCCCTTTCCCCCAATTCCCCAGCACTGTTCCCCTTCCCCCAATTCCCCAATAAAAATCTTAAAAAAAAAAAAATGCTGATCTGATAAGCTTTAAAACACATATGCACAATTATTTTACCTGGAGTATTCGTTCTTGGCTGAGTAACTTCAGTAGTACTGTGAGTCAGAAGTTCTGGTCTGTAAAAACATGGTTGATTAACAAAGCATTCAGGAAGACCTTTTAAAAGGCCTTCCCCATACAGCTGTGCACTGCCAATGATTTTTAATACGGTTCGTTCTGCCTTCGGCAGTGAAAATTACCATTTTGGTGACTCCAGATTATTCTGAAAATAGCAATTTTCACCGATTTGGTGAGACCGCCTGTATGACCTCAAAGGCATTTTAAACTTAGCTGTACAAAACAGTCCACCTTTCCCCCTACCAGTTCAGCCTTCTCTTCAAAACCCCAGAACTATGCCACAGTACAGCGAGACATTCCTAGCTGTGCCATCCTCAAGCTGCCTGTCCCTTCCTTATACAATTAGTCCTAAAAAGCATATACAAATGCATGACCCCTAAACAGTAAGCGAGTTTTAAAGTCCACCCCCCATAATCCTTCTGTATTGATAACAGGCCTTCTGGTTCATACGCCCTGCTCCCAAATTACCTGTTCTGCTGTCCATCAAACTCAAGCCAAAATGACATTTTTAAAATGCAAATCCAAATTATTTTCAGGGGAATCAACTTTAAAACCTTGTAATGGTTCCACTGGTTGGAAGGCCTCCTTCCACTTGCCCCCTTTTCAATCACCCCATGCCCACAGGTAGTCTCCCTCATTCCACAGACTGGGGTGGTCAGGTAAACATTCAGGTACCTCTGCCACCTTCCTGCCCCCATTCACATTCTTTGTTTTACTCAAAACACCTTTCCTCCATTCCCTACATGCCCTGTCTTCTCTCCCCAAAAGTGCTCCGTGACACTTTCCCCCATGTACCTCTGCAATAAGCCTCCCAAAGACAGGGCTCCTATGGGACCCCATTTTGTAATATAGCTGGTGGTGCTGGGTACTGAATGGACATTTGCGCAATAAATCAATCTAAATGTAATACCTTAATTCTAAATACGAGAGTAAGTCCCACTGAGAGGGGAATAGAAGGCCCATTTTCATGAAATTAATCTTTTCTTAAAGACAACATTAAATGTGTTTCTGCAGATTACAATCTTACCTTTTAATAACAAATTTAATTCGATTGCCCACTTGAATGATTTTTTCCAGCCTCGGGATTCCGTACCACGAGGGGCTTCTAAAAGGAATGTTTTCTGGGAGTCCTTCCACGTACAGATCATTCGGATGTGCCTCGAATTTCTGGTACGGCACGGCCTTGGCTTCGGTGCTCCCCAAGGCTTCAGCTTTGCAAAAGAAGCAGTTCAAGAGACTAAGTTCCTGCTGAAATCGTAGTGTGGTACAATTCCAAGGAAGGTACACATCAACTGTTTAAAAGCCAAGGACACGCTAGAAACACACTAACTACTGCAGCAGAGTTAGCGCAGCAAATGCAAGTGCAGAGGCCCCCTCGTTAAGGGTCACTTGTGGTGACTTAACTTCCCAGAGTCTAAGACCACTGCAATAGCTTTAAGATCTTAAAAATATTTTTCTGGTATCTTTGGGAAGAAATAAAAATAAGAAAATCATGACACAATAGAGAACGCAACTTAAATTCTACTTCCTCAAATATCTGAAGGCAGATTTTTGCTACTGAATGTTTTATGAATGTACTAATCTAATCCCCTTTTATTGGCTCCTGCACACTGACATGCTTCCGGCTATACCTTTATTTTGACTGCAACCATGAAATTAACTTTTTTTACCCTTTAAATATGAGTGTGCCATTTTAAAAGGAAATAACTTTCTTCAAAAAATTCACAGAATGGGAAATAAAAATAGTAAAAACAGACTGATTTAGATTAAAAAACATATCAACCAAAGTAAATGCATGAACTTTGTTTAGATCCATATTCAAACCAAAAACGTTAAAGGTACTTCCCAGATAAATGAGGAAACTCCATGAAGAACTGGAGAAGAGTGCATACAAAGAAATAGCTACTTCTGTCAGGTGTGATAATGACACCGTGCTTGTGTAAGGAAATGTCATGAGAAAGTAAAATGACACAACACCTATGATTTGCTTTATAATGTTCCTACAAAGGGAAAAAGGAGGAAGACGAACAAATGTGGAAAAATCTTAATGATCACTGAATGAGAAATTGGGTATATGGGAATTCACTGCACTATTTTTCTACTTTTGAACAGGAGTGCAACAGAAATTTTAACACGTAAAAATGAAATTACTAATCCCTGCTCTGAAACCACATCCAAACAGAGCTTTAATAAGAATGATTCAAACAATTTACAGTATCAGCATATACAGAGGGTGTCAAAAAAATGTATACACATTTTAAGAAAGGAAAAAAGTGTATTAAAATTGTAATACTCAATATATACGGATACAAAAGATGAGTACAAGTCATGTGTATGCATTTTTTTGGCCCCTCTGGGTACATAGGTTGCCATTGCATTCTGTACAGTACATTTAAATATTCTACAATCTGATGGTTTAAGAGCACCTCCCTGAAGAATTAATTTGCATTTTTTTTATTCTTAGATTGACTTTCCTCCCAAATTTAAAGGCCTTGTGTGTGAATATCTTCAATGACAATTTCAAGACTTGTAGTGTTTGACAGCTATAGAAAATCTAAGTTTTCCTCCTTCCCTTTCAGGAAGCTTAACTTAAAAGAAAGCTGCAGTCCTGCTGGTGTTTCACACTCTAAGTCCTAGACCCACTCAAGGCCAGGAGCACGAGCTAGGCTGTTCTTGTTTGTCTGCAACGATCCAGAACCTCTCGCCTATTTTCTCAGCTCTGAAGCAATGCCAAACTAATAGTTTCCACTGGACACTCTGTGTTCAGAACACGAACTTGTCAACAGCCTCCTCTTTTCATGAGGCATAAGGTGGCTTGCTTGGCAAGCGTGAGTGATGTTAACAGGTTTCACTGCTTCTATTACAGGCTCAACTTCCAGAACTAAAAGTAAGGGCAAAGGTTAAGCCTGTGTACACAGACCTGCATTATCCTGTCACCTACTCCTGAATTACAACGACACTATGGTGGCATCTCTAGTGACGAGTAACGTTCATTATCTGATTTCTTTTATTAAATGTATTGGAAATATAACGATTTTTAAAGTGGTTACGTTTTGTTTTTTTTTAAGTTTTTATTGGGGAATTGGGGAAGGGGAGCAGCCAAGTTGTTGTCCCTCTATCTTAGCTGTGGAGGCGCAGCTAGCGCGGCTCCAGTCCAGTCGCCCTCCGGCTGCCTTTCTGCATGCAGCTCGCGGCCGCTCAGCTCAAGATGCTGTGTTCAATCTTAGTTGCGGGTGGGCGTAGCCCACCATCCCATGTGGGAGTCAGACCGGCAACCTTGTTGTTAGGAGCACGTGCTCTCACCAGCTGAGCCATCCTGACACCTGTTGGCAGCTCAGTGGCAGCTCAGTTCAGGCGCAGCTCACTGGCCCATGTGGGAATCGAACCGGCGACCTGTTGCTCAGAGCTTGCGCTCTTAACCAACTGAGCCACTTGGCAGGCCTAAAGATTCTTTAGTTTATTGCTCATTAGCTGATTTCTGACCAGATTAAGAGGAGATAAATTATCACTAAGACCCTACATTTGTGCTGGGTAGGCAAGGATAGTAAAGACGAGGGAAACCTTAAACTTCTGACTTTTTCCTGATGTACCACATTCTGTGGGAGTTCAACAGCGTAAGTAAAAGTACACAGATTCTGCATACAACACATAATTAATGACCTCAGTTTGTAGCTGCCACTTGAGTTGCACCTAAAAACTGGTTTACCAGGACTTTTAAAACCCAGTACCACACACTAATCTTGGAAACCATAAGACAAACACGAATCCTCATCCAGAAGGCTTGGCTTTTTTGTGGTGAAACTCAAATGGTTTCCTTCACAAAACAGTGAGAATGGGGAGGGGGAGGCCCCAGTGACAGTGTTTGGCAGAGGTGTGACACAGAGCCAGTCCTTCCCTGCCACCAGGGTAACCAAGTGGTCCAACCACACACACTGCCCTGCACTGCAGCCATCTGTGCCTCTGACAGCTGTGGCGCTTCTGCACTTCCTTTGGTCTTCTCAGTGTTCTAATTTAAGGCCCAAGGTACACTATGTGACTGAGAGGCTCACTGATAGCTGAGGGCTTTAGAAGGCACTCTGAGGACACTGATCCTTTCAGTAAGTATTTACTGAGCATCTGACCACGCACAGTTCTAGCTGTCAAGAAGACACAATCTCTGGGCTGTCATCTACTGTGTTACAGCAGGAGGAAAGAGACAACTATTAGTGCTTTGAGGAAAATCAAAGGGTGATGAGCTATAGTGTGCTCAGTGGTTTACATTAGATGGGTCCTCAGTGAAGATCTCTCCAATGTGGTCACATTTAAACTGAGATGGAAATAAAAAGGAGAAGCACAAAAAGACCTGAGGTAAGAGCATTCAAGTGCAATAGTCCCAAGGAGGGTACAACCTTAAAGAAAAAGAGAACAAGTATGTGGTCAGTATAGCAAGTGAGAGAGAATGAGGTCAAGTTAGAAGAAAGGCAGGTGGCCATGACCAGGAACTGTGAAGTTTATTCCAAGTACAAAAGGAAACCAAAGAGTAGAAAGCAGGGGAATGACATGCTCCATTTTATGTTTTTAATGTGATTAAAGTCTGGCTGCTTTGTGTCACTGGCTTTGACTACAGTGATAGATAGCAGCGATGAAGAAAATGGGATGGGTTTGGGGCGTGCTTGAAATGTACAGTCAGCAGGAGGCCTTCTAAAAATGAAAAAAATCAAGGATAACTCCTAGGGGGTTTGGCTTGGACAAACATGTAGAGTGTGTGCCACTGGGTAGACTAGGAAAGGAACGTGTTGCCAGAGGGGAAATTGAGGATTCTATTTAGATCAAATAGGTGGGTGAATATAAAGGTCTCAGGTGAAGAGATGTTATTAGGGCTCGAAACTTAAATTTGAAAGGCATCAGAACATAGGTCTGTGGCTGTGTCATGCACGTGAGCCCTGAAGGGCTGCAGAAGCACCAGCTGCTGCGCAGGGAGGAGGCCGAGGCCACAACTTGAGGGGGGCCCGGACTCCATGCCTGTGTCTGGCAGAGCAGGTGTGAGAGCAAGAGACAATCCCTCCCTGCCACCGGAATAACCAAGAGTTTTGACGGACCTTTGAGCACAGACCAAAATAATGAGGAGCCAGACACGAAGCACAGGCTGTAGCACTGAAATGGATTAATAAGGAAGTTAGTAATTGGGCCGGGACGCTCCAGCACAAATTCTGTGGGATGCTATGTTTCAACGGCAAGCCACAGTGTGGGTCCTAATGATAGCCCCTATCAAGGCGGTGTATTCTTTTTGACAATTCATTTTCCTACAGGCTACCCCTTCACACCACCTAAGGCTGCAATTTACAACAAGAATTTATCATCCAATTATTAATAGTAATGGCAGCATTTGTCTCAACAATCTAAGATCACAGTGGTCTCCTGCTTCAACTATTTCTAAAGGTCATTTATCCAGTTGTTCACAGCTCTGTGATCCAAACCCAGGTGACCCTCTAGTGCCAGAGACTACATAAGTCTATAAAACAGAGAGTAAGTCCAACAGAATATCTCGGGAATGGACTTGGAAGTGTGCCACATGATGCTACCTTAGACTCAGGGTAACCTGCACTATAGCTGGATTCAACTTTAAATTACGTTCCTTTTCTTGATTTTCTTATCCGGCTGCTCCCCTGTCAGACCTCATCTTTTTTAATTTTATTTTTTGTTTACCTCCCTCCATTCATTCACATGCTCATCTGAGAAGACGTAATTTATGTTCTTCTACTTTTGGACAATAACTGCTTTTGGAAACTGTTAAGACAACAGTTGCCCAAGATTCAGAATCTTTAAGAAAATGTAGCATGTGTATGATGTGGCCGTTGTCTTCACTCTAACTGGGTTATGAGATTAAAATCATTCATTCCTCACTGCTCCAACATGCTGAAGACATTATCTGAGGGGGAGGGAAATGGACACGCAGTTGTCACATCAAAGGAGGCAGCATTATTCTAGCAGCACCCACTCCCATTTAAGCCTTCCACTGTTAGAGATGAGGTTACATGAGGTACTTAATGCTCATAACTGATGTGGCTGGAGTATAGGTACTGGATTCATAGCATCTGCAGAGCAGAAAATATGATGTATTTTATGCATGTCAATAAAGGGTCAACCCGTGCTTGTTCTACAAACTGGAAATTGCAAGCCAAACACCCTTTGTATTCCAAAATAGGGTCTCAAACATTTTGTTTAAATTGTTGGGAGGCTTGGAGCTATAATTAAGCTATCTTCCAATATGCTGTTTAATATAGCACTGAATAAATGAAGCAAATTGTCAATGGATGAGTGATCAACTAATAGCTCTGCTCTGGGAGTAATCGACTTATTTTTCTACCATAAAGTTGCATAAACCAAAAAAAAGAAAGTCATCAACATATAGATGATGTATCCTTTTTAAGGTATGAGATGACGTGTGATCACCTATGGAGAAGGCACAGCAAGGAAAGAGAAAGGGGGTTGGGGGCTCTGGACTGAGCTGCAGAGAACCACCCCAAAAATTTAAAAAATCAGCAAAAGGGGGGTGACATCAAGAGAATGAGAATGACAGCCAATGAGACAGAAGAAACCAAGAATCAATAAGGTTTGAAATTTTCCATAAAAATAGTTTTAAATAGTTTTAAAAAGAAAAATAAGAAGAAAGACAACTATGTTGAATGCTGCTGAGGAGTAGGATAAGCAGGGGACAGAGTGACTTTAGGTAAGAAAATACGTTGCAGTGGTAACTCACACCTAAGTTTGCTAAGTGTTTAGGGACAGAGCACAGCAGGCACAGCACACAAGACCAGCACCATGTGGGGCCTGTTACTGTTACGTTTTCCGGTAACCATGGTGCAACACTAGCCCTTCTGTGACCACTGCTCTGGCTGACCTCCTTTATGCCAGAGCAGCACACTAAGCATCATTAGGGTCACTATGCTGAAAAACCTGTACTGCATAAAAAATTACTCAGTAAAGAGTATATGGGGGTTCATTACACCATTCTCTCCCCTTTTGTACAGGTTTAAAACTTTTCATAATAAATACATATTTGAAAACAATAGAAGAAAACTGGAAGTGAGTCATTTTCATTGTATCTACATTCTTAATATACTTTAGTTGGGGGGGGGATTAGACTTACCAAATTTTTTGCAGAAAAGCTGATCTACCATCTTTCGTAATTTAGTGATTCTGGCATACCACTCTTCCTTTACTGTAAGAATAACAAATATACAAATTTCCTCAATTTGATGGCATCAGGATATTATAATTATAAATTAGACAGTATTATTGTTTTGACTAAAATTACTTCTAAGATTTCAGATTGTTTATTAAAAATGTACTGACACTGAATAAAAAGAGTAAAAACAAATGCAATAATGACAAAATACAAGTTTATAACTTAAGAGTAATTTTACACAGGTATTCTAAAGTGTCACCACGAAAGGCAGGAAACAGCACAATTCAGTTTATTAACAAAAGCTAGCAGATGATTTTTGCAATGTTAAATTCAGGCATGTAAGACTGCTGGCAATCCTCCCACTATGCAAACTCCAAGTGATAGGACGTCCATTTTATATACCCACCCCACTCCAGTCTGGAACAAAAGCAAGCAAGAGAACAAATCACGATTTGCTTCAAAACACATCTAACAAACAAGTGATGATACCACTGGCTATATGCTTTAAGAAGTAAATCTTTTTATGTCCTGGGTATAATGATGAATGATTATTCAATTGCGTGATGTAGGCTTGGGTAATAAATTGTTCAGTACATTATACCAGATAAAGTGCATCTCAAAGGCAAAACAGACAGGCTTCTTTTAGTCTACCGAGAAATGTGATGTTTGCACTTATTTATAATGGGTTATTAAGAAGAAAATGAGCTTACTCTTCTACAGGACTGGACAGTATTCTGACATTGTGTGTTTCTTATATGTAATGTTTTGATCTGACATACAATTTGACACAAGACTGGAGGCCTACCTCCTGATGCTGGTTTATCAAGCTGTAAGTCTTCACGTGTTGAATTTAGAAGTTCATGTCTGAAAGGTGAGAAAAAGTACTAAATATTCATGAAGTAATATTGAGCAAAAGTACTAACTATTAGTACTTATTAATGCTCAGTCATCAAGATCAGTTTAAAAAGAAAAGACAATCTGGACTCTTAAGAGTACAATTAATTCTAATTTCTTAAGATTTCCACAGAATAATAAAACTAAATGGTAACTGCACCTGTTTCATAAGGTACTTCATAGGGCATGTGTCTTCACAGAAAGAGAGTTAACTTTGCAGCCCAAGGGCATTTTATGAAATCGTAACAGCAAAGGAAGCAAACTACAAAAATTTTAAATGAGATCCTTTAATTTTACATTACTTTCAAGGCCACCTTACTTCAACATATATAAACTGGTTATAAAAATCCTAAATATATCTCAATACTAACGTTTACTTGCTTTTTTATTTTTCGTAATATACAAACAGCCCGTAAAACATAGTTTCTAGATGACAGAATTTTCACAATTGAACTTTCATATCCCATATCACTCTATTTTGTTGTAATGACCTAAAGTAATGGGCGGTGGCGGGGGAATACCACAGACAAGCATAACCATGTCTATATTAACAATAATCCCAGAAATGATGGAAACTAATACAGGATTAAATAATTGGATACATGATATTTGATCAATATTAGTGAGCTGTAAAATAAAACATTTACTAAACTCTATAGAATCACCCTACTAAACAAACAATAGTTTATGTTTATCAAGACTAACCATATTAATCTTTGGGGAAAGGCTTTAAAAAGTCCTTTAAAACTATGGCTTCCATAAATGAGTATATTGAAGACTCTAAATAAAATGTGCATAGTATAAAATACCTTGTGATAGCTTGCATAAACATTTAAACATCCAAACATAAGAGTTTTATAATGTTATATGCTTTAAGATTAGCAAACAAGCAAAACGTGTAAAATAATTTGTATTTTCCTTGTTATTAAAAAATAAACTTAAAAATTAACAAGTTAAACAATTTAATAAAATGACAGTACAAAAGAGTTCTTAAAACAATAAACTTTTTAATATATCAATGTGTAGTGGGAAGAGAGATTCTTGTGTATGGCTCTCAGCTAGTGTCAGGTTTTTAGAAAAAGCCACCATTCTGTTTACCATTCGATTTCATAAGAGACTACTAAATCTTTGAACTACAACTTATTGGAAAGAAAAATAACTGTTAGCAACAAGTTCCTCCCTGTGGAGGACAGCTCACCTATTATCTTGAGGTATCTCTTGGGCCTTTTTAGTTAAACCTTAAAAGCTCCTGTCATTCCTTTATTTAATGTCAATACAGAGTGGCAAGCTTGCTTGGTTGTACTTTTTGATCAAGGAGGTTATTAATTTGCCCATTTTCTCAACAGTACCAGAGCGTTACTAGAGTAATGAAGTTGAAGACTTGTGCAAATGATATGGCTATTATCCTACTAATGTACTCATTCATTGTTTATAGCTAAAATACAGAGGGTGCCCAAAAAATGTAACACATTTTAAGAAAGAAAAACACTATTAAAAATGTAATACTTAACATATACCAATAACAAAAGATGAATACAAGTCACATTTTACTTGTGCAATTACAAGAGGTGCTCAAAGTGGTTACCATCAGTGTCCAGATACTTCTGATTACAGCGAACTACTGCTTGAGCAATGTTGACCAAAGTGTCCACTTGTGTAGTTTTTTTGGCACCCCCGGTATATGTCAGAAAATTTTTAAAAAATCAGTGATACATATGACTCAAAAAGACTCATTCTTAATAGAAGGACTTAAAATGAAAGCTTTGTATTTGAGGAGAAGTGAACCCATCCCTCTCTCATGGGGTGAGTACTGCTTGGTCCAAACCCATCATAGTGTTATCTTTCTCATGCCTGTGCCTGGCTGAGGAATAAGCACTTGACATTAATTCTAACCACAGAATTAAGGCATTTTCCAAGGTTTCCTTGATCTCAAAGGAAACTACTGTCTCTCCTTCATAGATGTGTCTGGATGTGAGGCCTCAAACTATGCATCCAGCTCAAGGAAACTATCAACACAAGGGAAGAAAAATCTAGAAAACAGAAGAAGCAAAGCCCTGAGTGCCAGTTTTAACCATCCTATCTATCTCTGACCTCCTGGCTAGGTGGGAGGAGCATCTTACTGTATTAAGCTAAGCTGAGTAAGGGTTGTTATTACTTACTTCTGGAGAGACATCCTAACTGCTACCTTTCCTTTCCCAAGTAGGAAATCTCTATTTGCTTTCATACATGTTTGGCAAGTTTGGCTGGCTACAGAATTTAAGGTTCAAATCATTTTCACTTAGAACCTGGAAAGATTTGCTTACTAGTGTTACAACATCCATTACTGCTCAAAGCAGGTTTATCATCAGTATGATTTCCATTCTTTACAGATGACCTGTTTTGACTCTCTAGAACCTAATGATCTTTTCCCTATCTTCGGGGCACTGAAACTATATCAAGTGACGAATTTTTGATACTTTCCTCTTTTCAATTTAAATCAGATGTCACTAGATGAAGATTCAATATCCTTTCTCATGTTTCATATATAAAATCTTCTTTACAACTGACAAGACTAACAACCCTCCAGCCCTGTCACTGAAAATTTTAGTTTAGCAATTATATTTTATTATTTCCTAGACAACAATTTGTCCATTTTTCCCTTTTACAAGTATATCTAGCACTTGTTTCATGGGTGTAATAAGACGTTTCCATATATTTACATTGCTAAATCTGTTGATAAATGACCTCTTAGTTTTTTAAACCTTTTACTGTAATCTTAATAGAATCTAAGAGCGCAGAAAATGTGACTGCTGTTTTTAAATGGAACCATTCACACTTCCAATTCCAACTGCTGCACTCAATTTTACCTAAAAGCTCCTTTATGTCAATGCTAAGATAGTTACAGCATTCTGCTATCTTAGTTTTTTCTTTCCATTCTTACTTCTATTGTTTCATTTATTTTTACAGTTTACATGTATTTCCACATGATTAAAAAAATTCACACCTAAAAGAAGATACTGATACTGGGGTCACTTACTTTCTTGAGCATATTTAGCAGAAAACTGGAAGAGAAAATGACAGTTGTATGCCACTCAGGTATGAGCAGACACTCATGTTCCAAAAGCCAACTCTGGCATGACTGACAGAATCTTACACACAGACACAATGAAAAGTGGAAAATAAAATAATATATAATAATTCACACTTAATTTAAATATAGCACTGGTGATTAATAAATATTTGTTCAACAATAAAAAAAGGTGCACTAATCAGGAGCAAAGAAAGCTGAAGAATCTTACTTCTTAATCACAAAACGAATCCTTTCCTTGGCAAGTAATATCCTCTCAAGGCGAGGAATTCCGTAGGTAGATGGCCTCCTGAAAGGAATTCCTTCTGGAAGTCCTTCTACATAAAGATCTTCAACATGTGACTGGAAAAGAGGGTATGGGATCGTCACAGGACCTTTGGCTTTTATAGCTTGAGCTTTAGGGATAAAAAGAGAAAAAGAAAAATCATTAAATGACAAGGATTAAGCACAATTTGCAGAAAAGAATGTTATAGTTGACTATGTATTGCTCTTAACTTTATCTTTACTTATGTTAATTATAATTCAATCAGAAGAAAAACAGTACTAAAGAACTAAAAGGAAACACCAAAGATGCCAATGCTCTATTTAACCAAATCTGCAACACACTAATGTATTATTCTGGGGAAATTCAGGTACAAACTGTCTATTGAAATTTGAACCACAAATGAACATAGAAAAACATACCAGTTAATATTAGCTAATACGTACAGTGTGCAATGGAAAAGAAGTAGTGTTTATAAACATTTAAAATGTTAGTATAAAAAGGGTTTTTACAAATATAACTGAATGGGCCGGCCGACTGGCACGATGGTTAAGAACTGGCTTGGGACGCCAGAGGGCCCTGGTTCGGATCCCACGTATGAGGGCCAGTGACACTGCCCTCCACAGCTGGGATGCTGAACAACAGCTCAACCAGGAGCTGGGCTGCCATGAGTCACCGCCTGCGTAGGCTGCAGCCCCTGTGGTGGTGGGTTGCCATGGGCTACCATGTGTGGCCAGCAGCCAGCGTGAGCGGCTGTCCGGAAGCCGGCGACTGATCTGCCTTGCCCGAGAGGAGCGCAATGGTGGTGCCAACTTGGGCCAGTGAAGCAACGTCCTCCACAACTAGACTGAGGAGCAAAACGACAGCAACTTGTCTGTTCCCCTTTCCCCAATTCTCCAGCACTGTTCCCATCCCCCCAATTCCCCAATAAAAATCTTTAAAAATATATATATATATATAACTGAAGAATATTTAACTATAAAAATTGTGCTAAGGGCCGGCTGAGTGGCTCAGTTGATTAAGAGCTCGCTCAAGAGTTTGAGCTCTTGAGCAACAGCGGTTTGATGCCAGGCCCGAGCTGAGCTGCTGCTGAGCTGCCAACAGGTGGCAGGATGGCTCAGCTGGGGGAAAAAAAAAATATTGTGCTATGATTTATTTACTTGAGTAAAATAATGCAACAGTTGCAAAAAGTCAAAAGCATGAGGAGTGTTAAGAGTCAAATACAGTCAATAATATCATCATATCTTTGTGTGGTGACAGATCACGGTGATACGTCGTAAGATATAGATGTCAAATCATTGTATATTGTACACCTGAAATACAATGTGTACCAACCATAATTTAAAAAAGAATGAACTGTAATGAACAGACATTGATTTTATTAAACAGTATGAAGTGTCAGTTTTTCTAAGCAGTAGAGGACATTGAAATATCACTGGGTATTAAATGTTTTCAGATGTGATAATGGAACTGAGATTAAGATAATGCCTTCTTCTCACCCAACTCCCCATTTGAAATGGAGATTTTTGAGAGGTGAAATGACACATGTCTAGGACACTGGAGTTTTAAAATATTCTTGCGTAAAAAAAAAAAATGGGACAGGAGAGGACAAGGAAGGAAATACTTTAAATGTTAAAGGTTGTTGAACTTGGGTGATGGATACTTAGAGGGTCTTTGTATTCTTGACTTTTGTTTTTGCTTGGAACTTTTCATAATAAAAAGATATTAAAAAGTATCAGTTATGTTCATCTATAACACAGGCACATTTATAGTCAGTATTAACAATTTCACAGGGAAGCCTTTTGACACTAAGTAAAGCAATGCCAAGTCTTCTATGTCTGCAGACAGATACCACTATTCTTACAAAGACTTCTACTACATTTAATTCACACAGCAGTTACCTAAAATGTTTTCAAGTAAGCAGAAAGAACAGCAGAGATGCTACTGACACCGGCCAAAAGGTCCCAAAGCAAAAATGACTCCTATAGCCTCCGCTCCATCTCTCCTCCCCCCGGAGCTGTCATCAGAACAGCTGCCCTTTGTTGTTGGCATTTTATGTAAGCCTATTTGCTAAACATTAATATTTGTACAAAAGTTTCAAGTGTCTCATATTACAAATTAATGAGTTAGATTTAACATTCTTATACTACATCTGAAAATCATATACACATCTAACAATGAAAACAGCTTCCCCTAAAGCAATCACCATGTTATAGTGCTTCCCATGTAGAGTATGTTAGGAGTTTTTGCTTTGAAATGAACCAATTAAAATCACTGGCAAAAGGCTCTGACTATTGAAAACACGGATAAACACTAAGAAAACCTTAAGGAAATAATTGAAAATATTAAGGAAAAGTTACTGAATTCATTATTAAACATAATCCTGAATCTTCTTTGAGGGGTAGGTTATCATCCTGATAAAGAGAGAAATAGGGGCCAGCCAAATGGTGCGTTGGTTAAGAGCTGGCTTGGGACACCAGCTCTGAGCAGCAGGACCCCAGTTCAGATCCCACATGAGGGCCAGTGACGCTGCGCCCTCTACAGCTAAGATGATGAACAATAGCTCGACCTGGAGCTGGGTTACTATGAGTCACCGGCAACGGCGTAGGCTGCAGCCCCTGCTGCAGTGGGCTGCCGTGAGCTACTGTGAGGGGCTGGTAGCCGGCGTGGGCGGCCGTCAAATGGCTGGCAAGTGACTGCCTCACCCGGAAAGAGAGCAATGATAATATCAACATGGGCCACTGAAGTGACGTCCTCCACAACTAGACTGAAGAACAAAAGGACAGCAACTTGTCTGTTCCCTTTCCCCAATGCTGTTCCCCTCCCCCAGTTCTCCAATAAAAATCTTAAAAAAAAAAAAAGAAGAGAGAAATAGTCATTATAACTTTATTAAAGTAAATAATCCCAATATAGTTTATCATTTAAAAACTTCACTTAGAAAAATTCAGTGATGCAGGACAGCAGTATAGATTATTAGATTTTCAAGTTAAAATTCAGTGTATTATACAATCTTACAGTTGATTGCAAAGTATCCTCCAAATAACAACAACCAAAAAAAACCTCAGCGAAACAGTTTAAATTACTGCTATTTTTAGGTGAGCATTTGATATATACCATAAGGTGATAATGAATTGCTTGTTTCTTTGAGGATAAACGATAGAATAGTAAAACAAAAAGGAAAGAATTTGAGATCTAACTTAAATATCAAGTTATATATCAAGATAAAAGAAAATAAGGGCATCTAAATGTATACTAGGTTTAACATAACAGGTTAAAAAAGACTATTATTTAAGAAAATAATCTTCGGGCCAGCCGAGTGGCATGTTGGTTAAGAGTTAGCTTGGGACGCCAGCTCTGAGCAGAAGGGCCCCGGTTCAGATCCCACATGAGGGCCAGTGATGCTGCGCCCTCTACAGCTAAAATGGTGAACAACAGCTCGACCTGGAGCTGGACTGCCGTGAGTCGCCATCGACAGCGTAGGCTGCAGTGGGGCTGCAGTGGGGCTGCAGTGAGCTGCCGTCCATTGGCCGGCGTGCGACTGCCTCACCCGGAAAGAGCGCAATGATAATACCAACATGGGCCAGTGAAGCAGTGTCCTCCACAGCTAGAATGAAGAACAAAAGGACAGCAACTTGTCTGTTCCCCTCCCCGAATTCCCTAATAAAATCTTTAAAACAAGAAAAAAGAAAAAAGAAAATAATTTTCAATTAAATCTCCAAGATCCAGGACTCTGAAACAAATTATAAATAAACACCCAAATACACACACTGAAAATTTAAAAGAAATGCTAACTGAGACTTAAGGGGGGAAAAAAAAAACTTTCTAAATTTTGTGGTAATCTAGAAATAGAAACAAAGTTTCTAACATTTGGGCAGACACTATCCAATGACCTTTGCAGAGATGGATATATAATAAGGCACAGTTCACTGGGAGAAATGGACTGGCTCACATTAGATGAACAGCAACTCCATTGTTAAAAAGCTTATGAATAAAATATTACAAGAATTTTTGAGCTCAGACTTACCATATTTTCTTTCAAACAACTCTTCAACTTGTTTACGTAGATCAGTAATTCGAGCATTCCATTTCTCTGAAAATTGAGAAAAAAGTTAAATCTCAGTAATAAATCCCTGTTTAGCGCACTAATAAGTTTTTAAGATGATCCAACATCTAATATCTTATTTTCTACATAATGCATCCTAACTTTTAATTACCCATCTCCATCTTTATAATTTTACTGCTTTCCTAAGAACTTTTCCCTGTTTTGTGATTCTTAGAATTGGTTCAATAAGGGATAATAGAGGATGTTTTAAAGTTTATTTTAGAAACACTTCAAACTGAATCCACCTCTTTTTAGCCCTATAATTTCTGACAAGCAGGAGGGCAGAAAAGTCCAGTACAACAGAACACTACAAAATGGAGAAGAAAAAGGAGGGAGGTCTCCGAGGAAACCTTCTAAGACATGTCTAAGTTGTATGGAAATAAGACTTTATATATAGCTGCAACTTACAATCAAGTGTTAAAGAATATAAATAGATGTAAACTTACTATCTATATATATATGTATATATATATATATATATACACATATACACACACACACGTATATATAAATTCAATTTATATCCAGTAAATGTGACAATGACAAGTTAAAGTATTAAAGTGTTATTTTTTTTAATGTATGTAAGTTAAATCTATTTTATCTATTCAAAATACAGATCACAAACACAATTTGCCACTAGTATTTTATTTAGTCCCTTCAAAAGGCTACATCATTCATTGGGGTTTGCTTAGATTAGCTGCTGGCGGTTACCGAAGACCTTAAGTAAAGAAGGTTTTCAAGCTAAGGAAAATAATTACCAAGTCATGAACACTGATTTAAAGTCTTTAATTGTAATTATCCAAAGATACAATGTCATATGCTTATGCTTTGGTAAAACCCAAACTATGTTTAAATAATGTCTGTAAAGTTACTTCAAACTGTCCCTGGTTTCCCTTAGATTAGATGATAAGGCAGCAATACATATTAAAGCATCCCCTTAAAGAAAGCTGTAACTTTTATCAGTAATAGAAAGAGTTCAGAATCAAAGAAAAGGGGCCTATATTTAGTCAGGAACTTACCGAAGTTGAACTCCCTCACTTTCCGTTTTCCGGCATTGGCAGGTTCCGTGACTGGCGGCTGGGGTGGCTCGTTGCTCTTTGGTCTCTTAGTAGGTGGAGAATAATCGTCATCTTGAAAAAGAAAACTGTCATCACTGGAGGAACAGACTAAATGAGTTACAGCCACCGCCTGTAAAAGTCTCAATATCCAAAAGATGTGGGGGACTTTAAAGCTGTTTGGAATATCAATCATTATTTCTATACTGTCATTTTCAGCATGTTTCCCCCCAGTTACCTTTGAAGTTTTCCTACTCTTTGGGGGAATGCTCAAGTGAATATTCCTCATTTTTCCTGTATTGCTTCATTTTTTTTTCTTTGCTTAATTTGAATTAAGTCATTATAAATTAATTTCCCCTTCTCTTGTCATAACTCCTGAGAAAGCTGCCTAGAATTATAGTCTATTTTAAGTCTTTCAAGAAAAAGCTTTTAAGGGAAACAACTACCTACAATTATAAAAACATGTAAGAAAGGGGAAAAAAAATTTAAACTTATATAAAATTCAAGCATATATAAACAAGGGAAGTTAGATAACCACATGCCAAACACTTTTAACAAACAGAATTTATAAAATTAAATAGAGCTACATTATTTGTGAAACAGGTAGTGCTGATTCAGTCAATACAAAACCTACGTAGAAATGAGCATCAGATATTTAAGCACAGAATACAGACTTCTCAAGACATTTGTAGTAGGAGTTCATGCTAATTTTTTTGTGGATATGTCTGCAACTCAACTCTGCTACGACACTTTACTATATAAGGACATTTGGCTCAAATAAGAAAAGTTATCAATGCCATCTTCTTATAGTCCCTGAAAACGTCAGGTGGCACACTACTAAGATGTCTGCTCAAATATCATGTGTAAATTATTGAAAATAGTGATCAGTAATTTTCGTTCTCATTTTATAGCTAAAGAAACAAGCTCAGAGACTATTATGTGACTTAACCACGTAACATTACTAGATAGTACAGCTGAGATTTGATTAAGGTTAAAACTCTTTCCACTAAACCAACAGGTTAACTTTCAAATAAGAAATCCAAATTCAGCCTAATATAGAATGTTGCCTGGGACAGCAATAGATAACTTTTATATACTTTGTATATAAGTCATATATAAATTTATATACTTTGTATATAAACCAAGAAAAAAATCTGACTGAAGCCTAAAATAGTTGATACCTCATTGCTATCACAGCAATAGAGGACAGGATCAGACATGGGCACACTGGTGCCCTGACTTTGGGTTTTACCGATAATGCCAACAGATACTCTGGTAATCTAAAATCATTCCTGACTATTCTAACCAACATGAGAAAAGGGTACCAATATCACTAAGACCAGATAAAGTCACATTAAGACCCAATTATGTACTGGGAAAGACAAAAATGCTAATTTTGGAGATATCGTTTCAAGCAAACATTATCGTATAAGCAATTTACGACACTAAAAACTTTCATGTGTTAGATGCCACTGTAGACATCCATGTTCAAATTCAGAAAAAAGAAAATCTATGGTAGAAAACTATTCTAAAATGACAAACTACTAGTAAAATAAAACTTGACTATGTCACTGGGACTTACAATTATTAAATTAGTATAAGGATTTTAAATGGTCAAGAGACCTATAATAAATTATTAATTAATTAGATTCAAACCCAAGTAGATACATTTTGGAAAACACATTAAATATTGTTAATATGTTTGGACTTCAATTTTGAAAACATGCTGGGGGGGGGGGACCTGTCTTTTCCAACTTCCAGATTTTAGGAAGCCTAGGAGTATTTTTATGCTAGTTTCCAAAGGGAAAAATGAAATATACTAGTTTCACCCATGAATGTTATCAAAGTATTTTAAATGCTTAATATTAATATTTCTTCCCAAACATTAAGCAATAAAATTTAAAACAAAAGTATTTTCCCTATAGGCTAATGTCACCTAAATATAGCTATAGATCATCATTTCAACTAGTTGTTAACCGAATTACATAAAAACTCAAAGTATAAAATGAAAAAGAAAATACAGCTGGGTGATGATAATAAATAACTGCAGCTATTATAATCTAAACTGTTTGAAAATGAGGCCAAGGTAAAAAGGCCGAGAGCTTTTCTTTAGTGTCAAGACCTCACTTCTTCAATCAGTCTAATCTGTACCAGAACACAAGGGATTTACATATTTTATAAAAGTATTTTAAACATATTTTATAAAAGTAACCTCGCTGACCATAAAAGGAAAAAGGACAAATCTGGGAGGAAAATTTTTAACAAGACAACACTTTAACGAAGATGATAAAATATTAAAAAGGAAGTGACATCACATTTCTCAAGGACAATGAAGCTCAATCTATCAAATGTGAATACAAAGAGATGAATTTAATTATTTGTGATAAAGTATTACACCACACATTATATTAAGAGCAATCCATTTAAATGATATAAAACATGAAATTAGATCATATGAATAGCTATGAACTCGGCCACACCTTCCATTTTTGCTCCACGCTTTGCTGAATAAAACTATAATTGGTATTGAGAAAGCATGAGTAAACGTTACTCATGACCTCAAAATCCTTTTCACAAAGGGTCAAAATTATTTCTCTTGGGCCGGCCGAGTGGAGCGTTGGTTAGGAGTTGGCTTGGAACACCAGCTCTGAGCAGCAGGGCCCCAGTTCGGATCCCAAATGAGGGCAATGACGCTGTGTCCTCTACAGCTAAGATGGTGAGCAACAGCTCCTGGAGCTGGGCTGCCGTGAGCTGCCGTCCAATGGCCAGCAAGTGACTGCCTCAGCCCGGAAGAGCGCAATGATAATACCAACATGGGCCAGTGAAGTGACGTCCTCCACAAGTAGACTGAAGAACAAAAGGACAGCAACTTGTCTGTTCCCCTCCCCCAGTACCCTAATAAAATCTTAAAAAAAAAATGTATTTCTCTATAGCAGAAAACATCAAATAAAGCTCCAAGAATTTACTTCCAATAATTCAGTCCAGCAGCTAGCACTGTTTTCTAAATATAGTGTTTCAACATTATAAATGACCACTTTTGGATAAGACAACACATATTTGAGGATGCTTCAAAATCAAGCCCAAACTAAAAATGTTTACAGCATCGGGGCTGGCCGAGTGGCTCAGCTAGTTAAGAGCACGAGCTCTGAGCAAGAGGGTCGACGGTTCAATTCCCACATGAGCCAGTGAGCTGCGCCTGAGATGAGCTGACGCTGAGCTGTCAACAGGTGGCAGGATGGCTCAGCTGGTGAGAGCATGTACTCCTAACCACAAGGTTGCTGGTTTGACTCCCACATGGGATGGTGGGCTATGCTCACCGGCTACTAAGATTGAACACAGCACCTTGAGCTGAGAGACCGTGAGCGGTCAACAGGCAGCGGGATGGCAACGACTTGGAGCTGAGCTGGCTGCACCCTCCACAACTAAGACTAAAGGACAACAACCTGGCTGTTCTCCTCCCCTAATTCCCCAATAAAATCTTTTTTAAATAAATAAATAAATAAATAAATAAATAAATAAATAAATAAATAAATGTGGGCCGGCCGAAGAGTTGGCTTGGGATGCCAGCTATGAGCAGCAGGGCCCTGGTTCGGATCCCACATGAGGGCCAGTGATGCTGCGCCCTCTACAGCTAAGATGGTGAACAACAGCTCGACCAGGAGCTGGGCTACCATGAGTCGCCGGCGATGGTGTAGGCTGCAGTGAAGCTGCAGTGAAGCTGCAATGGGCTGCCGGAAGCTACCCTGAGGGGCTGGCAGCCGCTGTGAGCGGCCATCCAGTGCCCAGTGACCGATCTGCCTCACCCAGGAAGAGTGAAATAAAACCAACATGGGCCAGTGAAGCGACGTCCTCCACACTAGACTGAAGAACAAAAGGACAGCAACTTGTTGGTTCCCCTTCCCCGATACCCCAATGCTGTTCCCCTTCCCCAATTCCCCAATAAAATCTTTAAAAGAAAAAAAAAAGTTTACAGCATCAAAACGAAAAGCTCATTAGATGAATTTCAAGATATTTTAACATGCAAAAACTGTTACTCAGGAATATATTAATGTAATAGTTATTCTACCAGTATTAACACAAGTAGCGCCACACTGAAAATTTGTATTTAGAAAAAAATCCTGTTTTCCTTTTAGCATCATATTTACAAATCATATTTAGGCTTCAAAGCTAAAATTTATTACTGCATGCTCACTGGTGAATGCATTAATAGAATATGAAACAAATTTCCTGATACTCTTATTTTCAACATAGTCAAATTGGTAATGTTATATCATACAATCTGACACCTCTTCAAATTAAACAAACAAAAAACCAAATCAAAATAAACCAGGCATTGTATGTCTTTTGAAATTAATTACTCAAAGCCATTAATTACCCTACACATTTCAAATTAATAAATGGTATTTTTCACCCATGAATCCAGGTCATGGACTCTTCTAAAACGCTAATTTTTACCTTATAATTGGATGTTCATTAAGTGATTCTTTAGCAACTATAAAATTAAAAACACAAAATCTTCAAATGCTAACTTACATAAATTACATAGATTCTATGAACTCTCCAGGAACATTTATAAAGATACGCACAATAATTGAACAGTGACAAACAGCAAAGCCTTTTGGCTTTATCTTCAGAACATACCCAGAATTCAACTTCTTAAGTCCACTGAGCCCATCCTGCTCTAAAGCACTATGCTTTCTTTCCTAGAAAACGGCAACAGCTTTCTAAACCGGTGTTCTTGCTTTTCCTACAGTCTGCTCTAAGTCTTTCACAACACGGCAGCCTTGTTTCTTCAAAATGGTAAGGACTGAACGTGTCGCTCCTTTGTCCAAAACCCTCCAATGGCCTTGCCTATCTTGTTCACTCCTAAATCCTTGGCACCTAGTACAGTCCCCAGTACATACAAGGTGCATGGTATTTGCAGAATGATGAAATGAACATTTGAATAGGATAGTCCTTAATTATATGCAGCTGCCAAACATTTACCAAAGTCCTAAGAATGAATTTCACAGAAAAGGTTAACCAACAGAGGATGACAGGTAATGTGAAGACTGAAGGTCTAAGACAGTTTATCTAAATTGCAGTTCAGGTGCCACATGTGGTAATGTGAATAAACTATATGCAGTACTGCATTCCTGTGCTGAAATATTTATGTATATTTTTCAATGTGTATGAGAAAAATAAAATTACAAATTTCAAAGATAGTTTTACTTTGAAAGATGAAAAATTAATTTCTAAATGAATCTATTTAAAATCAATTTAAAGAAAAAACTTAAGAAATGAACATGGTAAGGTTAGGCCACAGCAGAACGAACACATGTGAATGGCTCCAGTTTGGGAAACAATGCCCTAGAAGAGAACAACATGATAAGGAAACCTCTTTTAAAGCAAAAAACTTCCCGTTATTACTGTATTTTGCCAAGTACAATGTGCACTTTTTTTGCCCAAATCTGTGAGGGAAAAATAAGGATGTGCATTATACATGGGTAGTACTAATTTCATATCTTTATAAATGTTCTTAATTCTTTTACTTATGCTTATGAGTCAAAAGTGTAACTCTAGAAATAAATAACAATATTCATATGCAAAATAATACCGTGGAATATGATAATCAGTTTTGTTAAACTTACGAGGAACTTGCAACCACAGAGTTCTCGGCCTTCTGTGATGCATAAATATCATAAATTTGTTACCAGTACATAAAATTTCTTGTACCTTGTATCTGTTCTTGTGTTTTGTAATTATTTGTAACATAAAATTTCTTGTACTGTAAAATGTTAAAAAAGAAATGCTGGGCCGGCCGAGTGGCGCGTTGGTTAAGAACTGGCTTGGGATGCCAGAGGGCCCTGGTTCGGATCCCACATATGAGGGCCAGTGACACTGCCAGCTTGGGCCAGTGAAGCAACATCCTCCGCAACTAGACTGAAGAACACAACAACAGCAACTTGTCTGTTCCCCTTCTCCCGATTTCCCAGCGCTGTCCCCCTTCCCCAATTCCCCAATAAAATCTTTTAAAAATAAATAAATAAATAAAGAGTTGGCTTGGGACACCAGCTCTGAGCAGCAGGGCCCCGGTTTGGATCCCACATGCGCCCTCTACAGCTAAGATGAACGGCAGCTCGACCTGGAGCTGGGCTGCCGTGGGTCGCAGGTGATGGCGTAGGCTGCAGTCCCTGCTGCAGTGGGCTGCCATGAGCTACCTGAGTGTCTGGCAGCCGGCCTGAGTGTCTGGCAGCTGGTGTGAGTGTCTGGCAGCCGGCGTGAGCTGCCGTGAGCGACTGCCTCATCCGGGAAGACCGCAATGGTGATACCAACATGGGCCAGTGAGGCGACGTCCTCCACAGCTGGACTGAAGAGCAAAAGGACAGCAACTTCTCTGTTCCCCTTCCCCGATTCCCCAATAAAATCTTTAAAAAAAAAAAAGCTAAAATTTCTTTATAATACAAAAAACAAGTACCTAAATGTAAACAAAAATTTGAATTAAAAAATTTAAATGCAAGATTTTTTTCCCCTGAAAGTTTGGGCCAAAAACGTAGGTGTACATTATACATGGGAGTGCATTACACATGGAAAAATACCGTATCTTGCCCATGACAGCTAGACCTCAAACAATTCTGAAGTAAGATTTTCTTTGCACTTATCAAAGACGTGATGGCAGTTTAATTTTACCCCAAAATGTAGTTGTGATATTTACGAAATTAAGGTTTGCACAGCTGTATTATTACTTCAAGGGCTATTTCTCAAACCTAAGTCCCACAAGTTATAAAAGTGTACACTGACTTCAAGTCCAAGTGGATCACCACAAATAGAAGAGCACACACCGGCAGCAAGTGAATATGATGCGACAGAGGTAATACATTTTTATCGATGTCAGTTAGCCCCGTCATAACTCCACATAACATCAAATACCATATCAAAATTAAAGTACTGTGGAAAATCTGACAAGCTTACTTGATGACAAAGTTCTCTCTCTCTCTTTTTTATCTTTTCTATAAACTATTTGGAAAATGCAGAAAGATACAGCAGGAGAAAATAAAAGCCATCCACAGGCATGCAGGATTATCTTCATTTATCTTCTTTCAGTATTTAAGCAAATCCAACATTCTCTAAATAATTTTAGGGGTCTTTTTTTGGATCACTTATATTTTTTAAAAATCGCTATTTCAGTGATTTTTTTTTCTATTATGATATACCAAAATTTAATTTTCTAACTATAGATACTTAACTAGTTTCAACCATTTTGCAATCATCTTTCCAGAAAAAATAAACAATATACTTATCAAACAAATGTGCAAGTTCTCATTTGACCTTCCTTGTTAATATCACAGACTTAAACTTTCTCTTTTTTAATGTATGGATATAAAAAACAATTAACAATTTAATTAAGGCTGACAAATAATTTGTTCATAAACATATATGTCATGGAAAATGCTACTCTGTAAAGTAATTATTTACACAAACCTGGTATTTCACTGGTCCTCTGAACATAAAGAAGCCACCTATATAGCAAAATTCTACTACTTGTTCACAAATTTGGATGATAAATCAAGCTTCTTGTAAGTATGTCTTAGTTTTAAAAAAATAAGATTTATCATTCCCTCCAAAGAGTTAAAATTGAAAAGATTGACATGTGTCAGGTTCACAAGCCAATAATTTTGTGATTATCATTAATATCTCTTTTTAGGTAAGTTATAAAAGCATGCATTTACTTTCTACAGAATTCTAATGCAGTCTTTATCTGCTTTAACATTTGATAAAAATAACTTTATTTTTCCTATTTAAAAGTTTTGTTCAAATAATTTTAATAAGCATCTCTATTTTTCCTATCTATATAGAAAGGGCAAAATTGTAAGTGTTTATGATATTTATACGCTCTTCAGATTTTTCTTCTCTAATAAGGAGGTTTCTAACTAAATAACAATTATGACAATTATTTAATACACTATAAACAATTCAAAATTGCTTTTAGGTTAGTAAAATCATATTAATGATAAAAGAAATATATATTAGATATGAGTATAAAGTATGAGAAAAATTCTCATTATTAGGTGAAAGGTACCAATCAACTTATATTTTAGAAGCAATGAAGACAAACATTTTGAGTAAGTGGAAATAGCCGAGTACTAAATAACCGAGTGACACCTATAGAAGACACATTATGAGAGAGAGAGAGAGAGAGAGAAAGAGA